TACTCAAACGTCAAGAGAAGTCTATAAATAAAATTAACAATGATAGAATCAAAATTGAAAATAAGCAAATTAAGTTGAAAAAAAAACAAATTAGAATAAAGTGTAAACAAGAAAAAATCATTTTTTATAATTCTATGTTATTATTGATTGTTGTAGTTTCTGTATTAGTTAAATATGATTTCTTCTTGTAATTATAAATATTATAAACTAAAAACTATTAATAAAATGGCGGCATTTTATAGTATATATTAAGCTTCTATTAAAGATGGCTTTTCCAATATATACTTTATAATGATTATAAATCAAAGGTTTCTCTAAAAAAATATCTGTATCAGTCATAGACTGCATTATATCGAAAATCAATTCAAACTTTTGACATATTATTTTTTATATGATTGAAAAAATCACTTGGACATTTTGAAGTATTTTGATTCATAATTTTTCACAAATATTCAAATTAAAAAAATATTGTCCTCATGTAATATCTTAAATATTAAAAATTTGACACGTAAAATTTTGTAATACTATAAAATACTATATGAAAATTAAAAATCACCCTGGGTGATGAATAAATGTACTGACTTCAAAATTTTTGGCCAATCAAGTTAATTATACAAAGATCATGATTTTATACATTATTTGCTTTGAAATAGCGATAGTAATTTACAAGGGACAAAATTGGATATGGAAATACCTGTATAAGAATTTAATAGCATTGACAAATAAAGTTGTATGTCTAACAATACAACAATACGTACATAAGTGAAAAAAAACAAGAATCCAAACTGCGTTAGATATAGTAATTTGTATTAATCTATCAATCAATTTTTTATTACACTTTGGCAATAATTCCGGGCAAAATCAAACTTTAATTTCAGGCAAAATTTAGTCAAATATCCCTTATTTGAAAAGTACATTTACAAAAAATGATTCATCGAACAAAGCCTTTTGCAATAGCCCGGAATTATACCTAATTTTGCATGAATACATAATTTGATCTTGCCTGGAGTTATGCCCAGAATTAATTTTGCTTGAATTTATATTTTAAAATTATGTTTACCAGAGTTACAAAATTCAATCCATTTAAAATAATACTTATGATAAAATTAATAATTTGAAGGATGAACCAACTAAAAAAAAAAAAAAAAAATTCGATTGATATAACTATGAAATTAACTCAGCTTTGTGAGTCTATTTTCTGACGGCCTCTAGTTGCCGTCAGAGAACGAACTCAAACTTATATATAAAAGGTAGTTTCATAGGGTTTATGAATTTGGGCAAAATTAAGACTTAATTTAGGTCCGTTAACTATTCTGGCTAGTTCTTTGTTTGTTAATAAATCTTACTACTAGGTCATTAGTTATAATCAGAGCTTGAATTTTGTCTTCAAAAGTAAATTTTTGAAACTAATTGCTGCGGGACTAGAGCGCTATTTTTCATTTTTATTATAATAGATATAAAACATAATGAAGTATTAACTCTATCCCGAATTCAATGAAATATTATTGCTAAAGGTTAAAATGTTATAATTAAAATACCCCGATCACTATATCAATATCATGGGGTATTTAGCAAAAATACCCTGACCGTATGTGTATAAGCGGAAACTTCATTTTCGCTAATACCCAACGGATCAGAATATTTTTATTACTAAACATGTGACTCTGCAGAACCATGGGTCGGTGAAATCATGTGATAAGGTTTAGAATTCAGTAGTCAATGAAATCATGTGATAAGGTTTAGTCTTCGAAAGAATTCATCATTTACACGTTGTGATTATTTCTTGTAATATTATTTTTCACAACACATATACTATTTATTTGTGCCACTTTCAAAAATAATTTATGAAATAGAGTTTATTTGTTTAAAGTAGAAAAAATATTTTTTAATAAATCATGGAATCAGTCAAGATAATACGAAATTTACATTATTTAATAATTTATTTAATTCACAAAATTTATTCTTCATATTAAAAGATATGACCATTTTCAATATATGTCTTTGTCTGCTGTAATAAGTTTAAATAATCCATTATTTTGTTCGCACATATAATAAATTTCGTTAAGTTTATAACTTAGACAACAATATTTGAGATTCAAACTTTTGTTTAAAATAGCAAAAGCCCTGTAAAGCTCTTCTCTTAGTTTTTTGAAACAATCATATGTCATACTATTTCCAAGATTTCTCTCTGTATTAATAGGCTCTTCCACGCATAGGTTCTGGTATCCCCAATTCTTTTCTTTTTTAGTTAAGTATTTGCCTTGGCGAAGGGATATGACGCTTTTCCTATAATCAAATTCATAAGCAAAACTAATGCAAAAATTCTTTTTAGAAAGTCTGCATTAAATTATTGTCAAAAAAACTGTATAATAACTTACTATTTAAAAAACTTAAGTAACAATTCACCAATTGATTCATTATTTTTAAAACCCTTTTGTAATGGTTTATTAATGAAAATAGATCCTCCACATTGTTGAATTTGAAGCACAGGTAATATAGGTGGATCACATCTTTGTAGAAAATTCAAAATCATGCAAGTCTATGTGTACAGTGATAGAGTGCTATTCGCTAAAATTAAGGTTAAAAATAAATTATTTTTTTTCAGAAGTTAAGTAATTTAAAGTAAATAAAATTAATATATACAAGCATCACTCAGATCCCTTTGCTTTGCCCAATGTCTTATTATTGTAACTAAGATTCGAACTCTTGAATCGATTTCTAAATATGCTTTTATTAAGCGGGTATTATCTAAGGCATCTTTATTATTAACATTAATATCGCATGAAAATTTTCTGAATAGATAAAAAAAAAATAAGCACAGATTTATTATTAAAAAATATATATATGAGTAACGGTATGGTCAGAGAAAACTTGTAAACTAGGGATGCGATCTGTTATCTGTTTTCAAATAAATTTAACAGATATCCGCGGATTTTACTATTAAATTTAGTATCTAACGGATAATGGATGCATCACTACTGTAAACCAATGCTTTTTGAATATTTACTTTTAATATTATTTATATTATCTTAATGAGACGATTGATTAACATTAAAGTAGTTTTAAGTACTTAATTACTTGGTTTTTTAAAGATATTTATATTAAAAGTAAATATTCAGAAAGCATGATTTACAGGTTTTCTCTGACCATCACTCATATATGAACGTTTCATACGAGGTCGGATTTTGAAATTTTATAATAGGAACTCTAGTATTCATACATCGAATATTTTGCATTTTACCTAATTATTAAGCGTGGTAACATTTATTAAATATTAACAATGTACAATTTGCGAATGGTTTATTTAACTTACAATTTTCCAAAACTTCTTTCAGCATATATATATCTATCAACCCATCATTTTTGGTTGTAATGCATATATCTATATCAGATTTTGCTGTTGCAAGCTTTGTTTCTGAAGAACTATATTGTGAATATAAAAGAATTAATAAAAGGAACTCAACTATTAATGAAAAAAAACAATGAAAAAACTCATATAAAATTATTGTACCCGAATAAATTACTTTTAATATCATAATTAAGCCATTTGTTTTTTAATATTTTATCAATTTTTAAAACAAAAAGTCTTCTTTCATCATAATTTTCTTCTGTGGCGAGTAATTCCTGCCAATAAATAAATATTAATTAATTAAAAATTAATTAAATATATATATTTATGATAATACCGTAATCTCATATTGGCAGATTTTTAAATATTGCGTGAACGCGAAAATAGCAAGTAACTCATTAATTAATCACTATGAATTTATGATAATACCAGACACAATGCTTCCATATTGGTAGATAGTAATTGATTTTTATTCATTTTTTGTTGAATTTCTAAATATATTACGGAAAAATGGAAGCCAAATTAAAGATAGCATTTAAATATAATCTCGTTCTACACGTGGCATTTAAAAAAATTTTATATATTTATTACTGTATTATAGAAACATAATACGTATTACTAGAGATGTGAACTGTGAATGACAGTACATATAAATAAACTATTATTTACTTTAAATTTATTTATACATATTGTACATACGTTATAATAAATTCCAACGCTAAATGCACAAGTTGCTTAAAAATAGTGTGATACTGCATGTAATATATTATATATCATATCAATAACGATTATATTGTTATTGTATAGTAGAGATGTGAACTGTGAATTACAGTATGTATAAATAAACTGTAATATATTTTAAAACTACATATATCTTGCAAACAGAATTTATGTTAAGCCTGATACATTAATTATACTTAATATATTCCACTATTAAAAATACAAAATTTAACTATTCGATAATTGCTTATAATAAAATACAAATAATAATGTTTCTTATATATTGGGATCGTCCAAAGAGTAGGACATATATAGTCCCATTGTAAAAAAAAACATATGTATCGAAAACTGGAATTGAGAGTTTTTTTTTTATATTTTGCACTGTGCAAAGATTGACTGGTTCAACAATTTCAGAGACAGAAATTTCTCGGAAATCACAGGACCTCTCCTTGGCTGTACGCATACTAATAAAGATCACGTGGAAAACTTTTTAAATAAAGGGAAAGCCAAATTTGAAAAAAATCCTATGTGAATTTCTGCTTAATCTTTAAACGAACTATAGCTTTGAACTAATCACCATTTACACGTTTATTTAACGAAGTTCTCATAGAAATATTTGAATATCAAAAGTATAATTACAAAAACCTATTTTCATTCCTTCTTGTGAATCACGAATGGTGTAAAATAATTGTACTGATACTATGGAGAAATCCTTGTTTTATAGATAGTAGAGTCATCAAATTATGTTTTTTTTTTCTAAATGCCAACGAACAAGCACTTTACGATATGTTTAAAAAAATTGAAAATACAAAAAACAATTCGAAGCCACCGTTATTTGAATATACAAGCTTTATTACATCTATTGATACTGATGATTTGAAATTTGGAGTAATGAATTTTCTTGTAGAATATGAAGAAAATCAAAAATCTATTTTGAAAATTGGAATGATGAATTTTCTTGTAAAGTTTGATGAAAATTGCAAATCTATTTTTGAAACTCTTTTGCGTTCTTTGATTTCAATGTTTCTACGAAAAAGTGAGAAACTTAAAGAACTAAAGATTAATAGTATTAATAATGAAAATATTTATGACTTGGCAAATTTCCTTAGCAAAAGCACCTTTTTAACAACTTTAAATCTTTCAAGAAATAAACTTGGATCAGATGTTGGAAAAGAACTAGCAGATGCACTTTGCAAAAATACCTCTTTAACTTCCTTAAACCTTTGCAATAATCAACTTGGTTCCGATGGTGGGAAAGCATTTGCAGATGCTCTTTGCAAAAATACCACTTTAACTTTCTTAAACCTTTGCGATAATCAACTCGGACCTTCGTTCGTAAAAATAATAGCAGATACTCTTTGTAAAAATGCCACATTAACCTCCTTAGACCTTAGCTGTAATCAACTTGGACTTGAGTGTAAAAAACCATTAGCAGATGCTTTTAACAAGAATAAGAATTTAGTTTCTTTAGGTTTTAGCAATTTACTTGGAGGAAAAGTGAGTAGAACGGTTTTTTTAAGGTCACCAATTGCTGTAAATCGTGTGGATGAAAAAAATAAGTCGAATTAGCGGAAACGAAGTTTCTGCTTATTCACATATGGATTAGGGTGTTGTTATGGTCTGGGATTACTGCGACTCTGTCACTCCACAATCCAAAATCTTGCCACCAAATAAATAGTATATTTGAATATTTTAAATTGGCTTCAAAAATTTTAATGATTTTTGGTGCTGAATTTATTTTTAAAAAAATTAATTTTATATTTTATAAATTCACATATAAAAAATATAATTGGAAATACGGTTTTCAAGATTGTATCTTTTCAAAGTACGCTATCATATAACTGTCAAGCGTTGTAATCATTCTACGTATAAGTTGATTCACATGATCTTATCTCTGCCTTAACGTAGGCAGAGATAAGGTCACGTGTTAAGCGTTTGATGCCGGCCCAACAATCTCACAAAAAACTTCGATAATACGTTGCTACATCAGTGGATGCTTTTGCAAATATATGACGAAGGTTTGAGTTATCAATATATGCTGTAAAATTTCTTCTTTAACATTTTATTATGTAACGACAAATGAAATTACATATTGCAACATATATTAACGATAAAGCTAGAATGGTTGTAATGTCCAGTCGAATCATGAAGTAATATGATATATAAATGAATGCGGGATATATCATTAGAATGTAGAATAGATCACCGGCAAAATACAAAAAAAGTAATAAGGAGACAAATGAAACGAAAAAACA